CATTAACCGAAACAATAGAAAGTAATGATTTTTTCCTATAAATTAAATATTCTACTTATGAATGCAAAACCTAACTTAACTAAAATAAATGCAATGTTTAACTAAATGCAGGTATTATAAAAATATTATGATGAAAAGCGTACTAAGATCTCGAATCCCGTTTAACCCTGAACTTTATAAATTTGACAACACGATTCAATTATAAAGATCAAGATTCTTAATTTGTCTAATAATCTCTTTCGAGTATAATTAAACCTATTTTTAAATGTACTCCAACTATATTTCTATGACGAATGCGAATATAAAAAAAAATTCATTAATAAATTTGTGAATACTTAAATATCACGTAAAATATAGCAGTATATTTCTCTCTTCTATCGAATTTTAAGACAATTGACACTATATCTAACATATTTTTCATTTCTAGAAGGTAAAACAAGTCACAATATTCATACAATTAGTGATCAAGTAATTGTAGAATAATTAAGGGTAATTGGCACAAAACGTCCACACCTTTCATTTTTTAACATTTTCATCCTTACTTCCATATTTGTTTGCGCTGAATGTCCTTTTCACCAATTTTTAACATAAATTGACCAATATACCCTTCTAATTAAATTAAACCAAAAAAAAAAAATAAAGAATAAATTACAATCTTACTTCTAAATGTTTTAACAAGTGCTAGTGAGTCTAAATAATTATTAAAAGGCCTAATAGTACAAAACGTCCATATGTTTGGCCTATAGTGTACAAAACGTCCCCACGTTTCAAATTTGTGAAAAATGACATTTTTCGCAATGCAACGTGAAAATAAGAATAAAAACAAAAATAAAAATTGAAACGTGGAGACGTTTTCCAAGCAAGAAGTGTCAAACGTAGAGATATTTTTTGCTATTAGGCCTTATTAAAATATTTAAAATAACAAAAACTCTCTCTCTCTCATCTTCTTCTCCAAATGGGTCAGCTACTATAAAAGCCAAAAAACTTTAGCAAACCACCACCCAAACTTCTGGACCACCACACCACCAAAAAGCTCTCACTTTTCTCTACATATACCACCCAACATCCAACCTTGAAACTTTCGTGCCAATAGATTTGTTCAAAATTGCAAGCCAAAATACCCTAACTCACGAATGCAAATACTGACGGTATCACCTGCTCTGGAGAGACCCATATCATTTCCAATACACTAATCGACTATACTCACAATGGCATCTCTTTTCATGGTCTTAAAATATCAACAGATGGTTCAGCGATATAGAGGTTCGACGATTTTGACGATGATTGGTCGAAGGTTTTTCACTTCTAATGGGGCAATCCCATTTGGAAAAGAAGAGAAGAGGAGAGAGAGAGAGAGAGAGAGAGAGAGAGTTTATTTTGTATTATTTTTAATATTTTAATAAGGTCTAATAGCAAAAAAATCTCTACGTTTGACACTTGCGGAAAACATCCCTTTGTTTCAATTTTTTTGCATTTTCATCCTTATTTCCACGTTTCGTTACGGAAAACGTTATTTTCACTAATTTGAAACGTGTGGATGTTTTGAACACTATAGGGCAAACGTAGGGACATTGTGTGCAATTAGGCCTTTAAATAATTAGTTGGAATCACTTGCACTTTTTAAAAATATTGAGGAGTAAGATTATAATTTACTTTTTATTTTTATTTTCCTTTTTTTTGGTTTTATTTAAATGAGAGAGTATTTTGATCATTTTACATTAAAAATGATGAAAATAACATTCAGTGTAAAGAAATATGAAAGGTAAGAGCGAAAATGCTAAAAAATGAAATGTAGGGACATTTTTCACAATAAACTTAAAATGTAAAGATGTTTTGTACCAATTACCCAAAAATTAAATCCATGTCAATCATTCAATAATTAAAAACATGCTTTGAATATCAAAATAAATAAAATTAATGTTTAAAAGTTCATGATATAAGACTCATCGTAAATATCAATACAAAATAATTTATCCTGACATAATGTTAAAATTAGATAAATAGAAATGAAAAGAATCACGGAACGTGAATAGTATCCAAATTCTTTGCACAAGCTGTTGATGAATTACTGAAATCTGGAATTATTTCTTCAGCTGGTGCCCGATGTCTTCTCTGCACGTAAATATATATTCCTCCAATTTTGCCACTTTATGCGTGCAAATATATTTCTTCCTAAGCCGCCGAATTTTGTGTAAATGTGTGCCTCTCCGCCAAATTCAGCCCACATTTTAGGATCAATTATATAATTCCTTTACCCGCCGCCGCCGCCGCCGACGTTTGAGACCAGAAAGAGACTCCAACTGTTCTTCGCTTCAGCCACCGTTTCTGTGTTGCATGTATATATATTTAATCTCAGCATCAGGCCCATTTAATGCGTAGTTTAATCTTAGCAGCCCTTGAATCCAGTTGGTTTTGACTTTTATTACAAATACAAGTCAAAAGTAAGGTCCATTTAATTTATTATTTTCTTCAAGTCATTCAATCTTTCAAGTTAATACAATGTAATCCTTGAGTTCATCAATTGTGCAATTCAATTCAATTTAAGCCCTTCAATTTTCAAAGTGTTGAATTTGATCTCCAACATTTGCATCCAATAGTCAATTAATTGTTCTTTCCTTTCAAACTGCTTCAAAACGAGTTCATAGCTGAAATAATATAAAACTTATCCAAGTTAAGTAAAAATTAATAATTCGACGACATAAAAATTTAGTAATAAGGTCAAATAAGTGCACAAAATGCACTTATCCCATCATCAAATCTTTTTTCTTTTGATTCATTTTTCTTCTTATAACAATATTTAATAAGATAACCTAACTTCCCACTGTAATAGCATTCCTACCTTTTGCCTTATTTTTGATTTATTCTTATCACTCCATCTATTCTTATTTTCATTAAGGGTGCGTTTGATTGCAAGTAGGAAAATTGCATGGAAAGAAAATATTTTCCAGGTAATTCAATTGCTTGGAAATTATTTACATGGAAAATGTTAATTACACATGTTTGATTGACTTAAATTTCAACCTAGAAAATGTTGTAATTTTCCAACTTTTGGTGTTTGATAGCCATTATTTTCCATGAAAATAATCATTTTTTCCAACTTTATCTGTTTGACAACCACTATTTTCCATGGAATTTCATGGAAATTGTCACTTTTTCCATGGAAAATAGTGGTTTTTCCCCATGAAATTTTGTCAATGAATAATCCAAATTTTAAATAAATTGTATACATAAATGCGGCCAAATCCTCATCAATCATAATTAATATAGCAATTCATTTGTGGATAAAAACATGCCAAGATTCGGTACGAAAGATGCATAACCACTATAGAGATGAAATAATTATCCCTAACAATTCAGATTTCTACCACTTACATATTCTTCTTTGCAGTAAAAAATAATAATCAAATAATCCATTCAAAAAATAATGATGAAATTTCGTTCAATGTATTACATAAAACGAAAATGAAAAAAACCCAAAAATCTGTATCATAAAAAAATAGCAAATAAAATCAAAATAAATGTCATACTTTCACATATGTCTGTTAAATTATCCAAGCAAGTCATCTTAAAATAGTGGAGGCGGATCACGGCCCAGATTCTCAAATACTAAATCACGCATGAATTCTTCATCAGTCAAACTCATAAATACTTTAGCCAGACTCTCATCCGATCGAAACATTTTCATTACTTGCATTATGTCACGCTTTTCTATACTCATGCCTTGTAATTTTTCTAGAACCAACTGCCAATTGATATGGTTTAGCGTATCTAATGTTGCTTGAGTCTCCATAGCAATTGCAATTTTTTTAGATGATTCGGCAATGCTTGATAGGGCAACGAAACTCTCATCATTAGGTTGGGTACGTCGACGGCGAACTTTGTTAGTTCCTCCTTCGGCATTACGCTTAGGAGATCGAATGGGGCTTGGATCCGTATCCTCATTTTGACCATCAACTTCATGCACATTTTCATCTAAAATAATAATAAAATAAGAATTTGTTAGAAACTCTAATATAATACGAATTATATAATTTTTTATGTACGATCTAGTACGTACCATGATCGGGGGATAAAATGTCATTGTCGGTTACAGCACGATCTCCTGTAGCAGAATCATTTCCAAAGATAGCCTCCAAATCATCAAAACGAGAACAAAGTTTGGTCCTCCACTTTCCAAATTCCGGTTTGCCCTACAAGAAAAAGAGTGAAATATGTTTTACGCTAGTTAGTGGGCAAAATAAATTAGATTAGTAATATTTAAGGATCAATACTTTCATTGGTCAATGAAATTTTGTACCTTCAACAACTCCTCCCAAGCTAGTACATTCGCTGTGACACGTCCAGTGTGAGGATCTAACCCAAAACCACTCATGCTTAACAATTGACGAACTTCAACATATTCTTTTTTCAGAGTTTTCAATCGCGCCCTCACATTCTTATCAGACACCATGACTCCACATCCATTGTGCACGTTCTCGATTGCTTTGGACACGTGATATGATGAAAAGCCATCGTCACTTCTTTTGTGACTAGACAACACTTGATGTAGTAGTGCAGTTATCATACAACCGTCCATTGCATCACTCCAACGTATTTGACGATTTCGAGAATTAGGATCCGCTTGGGTTGAGCTTATTTCCTCCACATCTGAATGAAGGGTTGGTCTAGGAACTCGAAAAGGTGCCGCAGATCTTTGTCGAATTTTTGCCATGTATAGTGCAAGATTAACTGTTTATGGTCAACCAATAAATAAAAATATTTAAGAAAATTTCATGTCAACAATGTCTCCAATAACAACAATTCCAATTACAATATTTAAAATTCTAACAATCTTATGTCAACTATTATAGGACATGGGGAAAAAAAACAAAAAATCTACTTAATGTCAATACATCTTCAATTCAAGCAATTACTACATATGAAAGTCTAGTACATTTATATCCATTACATAGAAACGAAAAAACAAATAAAAAATTAAAAACAATAAAAAAAATCAGATATCAATCGAAATCAATTCCCGCATTCTGATTGGGAAGATAATCAGCCCACATTAAATCAGCAATCGCATTCCTCTTATTAGACCACACTTCCTGATTTGTGAAAGATATGTGAGCATTTGGAGTTTCATCTTCAGGTACGTCAATATGCGTAGGGTTAACCTCATCGTCACTACTATCTAAGTCGTCCTCCTCACAAACATCTTCAACATCATCAGTCCTTAAGAAGTTGTGGATGGCAGAACAGGCAAGAACTATCTTTGCTTGTGTGTCAATGTCGTGATAGGGTTGATGTCTCAAATATGCAAATCTTTTTTTCAGCAAACCAATTGTACGTTCAATAACATTGCGTAGAGATGAATGTCGAAAATTGAACAACTCCTTACTACTTTCAGGACGTTGACCTTCAATGTCTCTACGATGATAACGAGTCCTACGGTATGGTGCAAGAAAACTCGAAACCGATGGAAAGCCAGCGTCAACAAGGTAATATTTACCTAGGAAAGAGTCGTTCATAAGATGGTAGTTAGGTAATTATAACTTATGCGTGGAAGAAATATTTTCAAAATAGTGACACAACTTACCAATAGGAATTGTTAGCTTATGTCCTTGGCGTAATATTGCACTCCGTAACAATCGAACGTCATGTGCGGATCCCTCCCAACCGGCAAGCACGTAGGTAAATTTCATATCAAATGTGCAAGCTACTAAAACATTTTGGGAAATCACTTGCTTTCTATTGCGATATTTACCTTGCTCCTCTAAAGGCACATATGCAGCTATATGTGTACCATCGATTGCTCCTACGGCATCCTTTAAAAAACAATACTTTTCAAAATAAATGTGAATATTGAATTTTTAAGAAATGTGATGAAATAACTACAAACCACTAACTTGAAAAAAGGAGTACCATGGCTGCACATTTTCTTTTTCGTATGGTGAGTTATGAGGAGTGGCATTAATCACAACATCTCTATACAATCCAAGACAAGCGTGTAAGACTCTGTGAAAGTAAAAGCTCACTGTTTGACCAGAGCGAAAGAAAGTAAAACGTCCAGCGCGATTACGTTGGTCATGCCCGATTGTATTCAAAAAAATTGCGACTTGTTTCTCAATTCAAACGTATTTACTGTCAACCAATCCATAAGATCGCAAATGAGCACATAATCTTTGAAATGGACCTATTTTCATCCTAAGGAGATCACGACATATTGTATCACTCGTGCCAAATATTCGTGTAAGTGTTATTTCTCTTTCAGAATTCCAATTTGTATGAGGAGCTCTTGGAAGATGTCGTGCACGACGCCTAAGTTCGTTATATATCACAATCGCTTGCATGACCATCGTCCAAAATATACCTAAATGTTGTCGTCGGCATCGACGTTGATTCGTTGTTGTAGCCATGTTATAAACTACCACGGTAAATAAAGATTTGTTTACAAAGAATAACATAAAAGCATTACAGAATAAAAAGTTAATTGTAGCTACATCATAATAGAAAGTCATGGCATGCACTTCCAAGCATAATGTCAACTGGTTATATTAGAATTCTTAAAATCATTTTTTTCAATTTCATGCTTCCCTACCTCATTCACACCACAGTAATCCCCCAATTAATAGAATCAAGAACATAAACCCAAGGACATAAATTATTAAGCTACTTGTAAATCTTCAACTATCTCTCACAATTTCAATTTCATAAAGATTTTTTTTGGCCTCGTTAACATCTCAATTCCCGAAGATTTGGACGTTGATGATATGCGTTGGAGTAATTATGCAATTAATTCGAACGATACTGATAAAAAAGCGAAAAAACTTAAAGTATCCAATACAAGATGAAAGCGAAAACTTAAAAAAAAAATGCAAAGTGTTACGAGCTTTTCAAATTGGTTTCAATGGTAGTACAGTCGATTGAGTCCAAAGAATTTAAAGCAATTTGCAAATAGTGCCGAACAAAATTGGCACAGAAAAGGAAATCAAACCCAATGAGATGATTATAAACTAGAAATGATACAATCTGCCTTAAAATATGTCAATGTCATTAAAGAGTGACACGTTTATTCACTTAAATCTAGTCTTGAACATGTCCTCACTCACACAAAATGAAGTGGTCTCTTTTCAACTTTCTGTGGGAAACGTATTAGGATTTATTGTTCTTCATTTCCCTCTATGGCTGTTTATTTTTCCATAGGTGGCTATCATCCTAGAGGACATTCTGACGGCCAAACAAGAAGTTGATGCTGAATTTTTTGGTGAAGATCGAAGCTGGGCTCTTGGAGAGAGCAACGTGAGCCTCTTTCTTGACTTCAATGACATGCCACTCTCTCATTTTTACATAACTGTTTTATAATACCACTCATTCAACTTACAAAGCACATATTTGACGTGGAGGCACAATTGTCAAAATTGCATGATCATGATAAGAATTGTTCAAATTAAATTTGAATTGCACGAAAATGGTATGAAACTGTACAAGGAATCTCACATAACCTATGACTTGGTAGCAATTGGCAAACTTTGTGATAAACATAAACAAGCACCCGATTGGATAGTTTAAATACTAACGACTATTTTAACTTCTTTTTTCTTCAAGCATCAACTAGTGTTTCTGAACGTCTTCAATGCTTGAGAATTCAAGACCTCTGTTTTTTAAGGATCTTGATACTTTAATTTTTGTAGAGTTCTTTTACACCTAAACTGATATCAACATATATCACCTTCAAATAGAGTGGCTTTTAAAGCATGGTTCAACCAAAAAGTACGAATCACAGAGCAAAAGGAAAGATGACATTAACAAGAACTGAGACGGTAAGACTGAACCTCTTCCATAAGCTTCCTCTTTGAGGTGCAGAAATTTTCTCAAGTCGGGAAAAAAAGTTGGTTCATAGTGGCAGTAAATTACTTCACTAGGGACCAACAATAGTTTATTCACCATACTGGGAATAAGATAGAGTGAAGTTCTGAAATTAAGCAGAAGATATAAATATTTCCCAGATAGACAATATTAAGGCTCACTGAGCTTATCATGATTAATAATTCCATCACTTCTCAAACGTGGTGAATCTGGCATATCCTTCTTTGGAGGTGTCCAAAGCCATCTTAACTGATCCTCTCTCAACTTATCCTTCATAGATGCCATATTCACCAATTCACCTATTTACCTTCTTATTTTACTAGAAACCGGTCTTAATGTTCTCATCTCAATCAAATGCTGTTTACATATCAACGCAAAGAAAATATATCAAGTTCTCACTTTTTATAGAAAACATCATCAGTAAACAATGAAATTATAGTCATCCAGTTCTCTAAAATCCAAACTAACAAACAAAAGATAAGAGACTATTCTCCCTTAGATAGGGAGGCGACGATAAGCTAAATGATGGAAAGTGACCAGCGATCAGTACAATCGAATTTCCTATGCTCAATCCAATAATTGCAATCAATGACACACGACCACCGATAACAACAGCAACACCGAAAAATAATACCAACCCAGACCACCGGCTTCCTAATGATTGATGAACAAGGCTAGGCGATCCAATTTATAGACAATTAAAGGGGATATAAACGGCTAGATAACCTTGTGGAAATCGGATACTTCGTAAGTCGGTGAGTTTTAGGCGGTGATGATTGTCAAAGTCATCGAGAAAATACCATAAACCCAGATTCTTGGAATGATTACCCAACTCTGGAAGCAAAGAATCGTGAGTTCTTCCTCTGGCTCTGTTGAATTGATGAGAGAGAGGGTAGAGATTTGTAAGGGGTAGAGAGGAGAGAGAGAGATATTTTTAACGTAGGGATGAGAGTGAAAGAGATTAACGTGGGTTGGTTACTAGAATTTTTGGAGAGATAAAATTCCATGGAAGTTTTCAGGGAAAATGAGGTCACGTGACCAAAAAAAGGAAAATATTTTCCTTAGAAAAAATTGTCAATCAAACAAGACAAAAGTAGAAAATTAGGTGGAAAAAACCCATTTTCCATGGAAAATATGTGCAATCAAACACACCCTAAAGGTTTTAAAGTGATAATTAGATTTATCAAAATCTTTCCCTTTAACTAACAGATTATCTCCATTTTGACCATCTTTAGAACCGGATTTCATCTCTAGAACTTTATTTCTAAGGGCATCTATGAGTATATCAATAATGAATTATCCCCTCCCATATTCTAGAGCAACTTTGATGTCTTTATGTCTGTCACTAATGAGGTTTGATCGGGCTAAAGCCATCTAATCTTTTGAAAGCTTTAATCACAGTTCGCCAAGTTTTGGGTAAGTTTTGTAAATCTATTCAATTTTTCATCCAAATCAATTAAGGGAACCATTTTAAAAGAAAAGAATTGCTTTAACTGACAGCATTTATTTGGAGTATATCACATTTTCAAATAAGTACAAGAAAGTGGTGCTCCGTGCAACTTCTTTTGTTTAGCTTTCTTTGCAGGAAGTAAGTCAGCAGGCTAATTATTGTCTAACACCCTAACACATCTCATTTGCATTAAATAACCTTCATTTTTTTATTTCTTCACATATTGAAATCACATTTTCCATCAAAATGATTAACTTCAAACTTATCAAAAGCTATATTATAAACAAGTATGACTCACGGGCTTAAGACAGTTTCACAAATTTGCAAAGAATAACAAGAATACAGATTAGTGTCAATCACAAAATCATAGTAATACACTTAGTAAAAAAAGATTTCACAAATTTAGCGAGTTTTAATCTCAATCAAAGAACATGTAGAGCAAAACCACACAAATATAGATCACAACTCAATGTTTTAGAGATTTCTCCTTCAATATCCTCCAAGATGTATACTCGTACTGGATTTATCTCAGATTTCCAGTGGACATAGATTAATCTCCAGGGGTCTCATTATATGGTAAATTAAGGGGAAAAAACAAGAAACTTTAAATTTTTAAACTTCCCAAAAATTAAAGATCTTACCTGCAAATTTGTAAAACTCAATTTCCTTTCGGTTTTGCTTAGCATCAATTCTAAATATTTCAGATCTACAATAGATCTACCATTTTTTGCAAAGATCTAGGTATCTTGTCCTCAGTTCTTACTCTGACACCACTGAATGGCTAGATAACACGATATCAAACTCAAGATACAAAATAATCTCAACTTGACAGAATGCAAAACTTGTAAAAAATTAAAAGATTGAACAAAAAGAATTTTTCGATGAAAGCCCCAAAAGTTCAACGACTACTTCTAACGCCCATTTCCCTGTTGAGCATCCAGTAAATTTGATATTTGCTCAATTACACCATATAGCCCCAAAAATGGTAAAGAATGTTACCAAGTTTATAATCAATACACAGAGATGGTAGAAAAGACTTATCTCTTTTAAGAAAACTATTGACCTATAGAAGAATCACATAAGAAACCTCAAAGCATCTCTCTGAATATTACAGTAAACTAACACATCACAATCTCGAATGAGGTGATCAAGAAGAAGATTTCAGATCAAACCCTAGCCAAGTGAAATGGCATATATGAGACATACACAGTAATCATCCTAATGCCAATTCAAGGACCAGATTTTCACCAAGTGCGACGTTAACTTCCAAATTTTGGGAGCACATAATAGATTACCAGTTCGAGCCTCAACACAAGTAAAGGGGGTAATACATGTTGGAGAATTTAATGCTTTAAATTATTGGATCTTTCATGTTAAATCATCGAGAAATATAAGAATTAAAGCGGAAGCGTACCTGAATCAAACATGGTTAATGCAATATGAATTTCGCGGTATGATCTTCCAAATCTACACACAGTCTCATTTTCCTCTCTGTGATGGGATGCAGTAGAGAATGAATAATATGTTGCATTGCGTGTGATCTGGGGACCATAACCTATTTATATAAGGATGCACTTTGACCTAATTCGGCCCATCATAGAATTAGGACTTGGGCCTGGTCTCTACACATATGTAAACCCATACTTTAACTGGATACATTAAAATCCAAAACTGAAGCCTTGTTAGATCACTTTAATTGGGCTCAACTGAATTCGATAGCCTATAATTTAACACACCATTATTTACACATACAAGCCCATCTTTAATTAAAA